CTTAAGAATTTTTTTGTCATTTAAAGATTTCACCTGCCCCCCTCCCCCCTCTGCCATACATTATGAATGCAGCCTAACAAGCCTGAAATGCACTGTGGGGGATAAGAATGTAGATATGCAGTTCCTGACACTATTTACATATGAATATAATAGATTTCAAGCTTAGTAAGAAACATGCAAGATGCAAAAAAACCTTTACCAACCTTTTTTGAAATAGCTGTATAAAGAAGCAGGTAGTCCTAGAAATTTACAATACTGTATTCTGCTCCCAACAGTCCACTTCCAAGATATGCTTTGCTTTTCACACACAAAGGTTTTAGTACAAGGCTATGTGTGAAATATAATTTATTATTTTCTTCTTTCACAAATCACTGAGCATTATGCACAAAGCCTCGCATTGAAACCTTTGTGCGTGAGAAGCGAAGCATATTTCGGAAATGGGCTATTAATCATGCCTTTTAAATATTATTAGTAAAAATACACAGGTGATTATTGAAAATCTCGCGAGCTGATTGGTCGAGAAACTCAAACTATCACAAGATAATCACCTCCAGTGATAATCCAAAATGGCGGCCAGCCGCTTTGTTGCAGTTACCGGGAAAAAATGTCTTTTATCTTCTTTTTTTTCTTTTTTTTTTGAAAGAATCACCTGTGTATTCATACTAAAACAATTATTTGCCTCAGCGTCAGTAAATATCGGAGAATATTTACCTCGCATCTCGGATAATTGTTAATTAATGTGTATCCATATCATTATAATGGATTGGATTTGCAGGATATAGCACACATATGCTTGGAAAGTGGCATCTAGGGTTCTATAATTGGGAAAGTACCCCAACATATCGAGGTTTTGATACTTTCTATGGTTTCTACAGTGGAGCAGAGAACCATTATACTCATATACAAGGCCACTACTTGGATTTGCGTGACAATAAAAATATTGTGGATGATATGAATGGAACATATTCTGTACATCTTTTTACTAAGGTATGCTTCAATGCCAGTGACAAATCGATGAAAGTATGATAATAAATAATAACAAATTGTATTTAGAAGTGGGTTGAAAAATTTCTTCTGGATCTCAAAAGGAGTTTTTTTTGGAGAGGGAAGATTACATTTTTATTCTTATTTTTTAAAGCTTTTTTTATTTCTCTTTATATATTAATGACCTTAGCAAGCAGAAAAAATTGTCCATTTACATGAGCCGTCACAGCCGATGTTCATGTACCTAGCATTTCAGAATGTACATAGTCCTGTACAAGCACCACAGGCATATATAGACAGGTATAGCTTTATAGATGATCCATTACGCCGTACATATGCTGGGATGGTTACTATTATGGATGAAGCTATTGGAAATCTTACAAATGCTTTCAAAAATGCAGGGTAAGTCTAAATATAATTTGTCTGCCGGTTTCACCATTCTTTCTTTTATTTCATTTCTCTTGAAGCTGAAGCAAATCGTAAAAGCTATTAAACCTATTCACAGAATGTAATTATTAGACTTAACAAACTCATTAATAATTTATGAGGAAAACACAATAGAAATCACGACCATGAAGAGAATTGATACAGAATCATGTTCATTTGCATAAACTTTAACTTGGATTTTCTTGGGCAGATTCACTTTTATCTTGAAAGTTTTAGTGAAACAAAGGAACTAACCTAGACATTTGTTAAGCAATACACAATATTTGTGTCCGTGTTGTATATGATATATAAACTCTCGGCTATGCCTCGAGTATATATATCATATACAACACAACCACTCATACTGTATATATTACTTAACAACATCCTTTTGTCTCAAATATATTTGGTGACTTTATCATTTGGATTGTTTTTGCTTTTTCATAGACTATGGGACAACACCCTTCTTGTGTTCAGCACAGATAATGGTGGGGTACCTAAAAACGGTGGCTACGATTATCCTCTGCGAGGGAGGAAGGATACATTATGGGAGGGAGGGATAAGAGGGGTGTCTTTTGTACATGGGTCACCCTTGGCGAGACGTGGAGTCAAGTGTAATGGACTGATGCATGTATCTGATTGGTATCCTACTCTTGTAAACCTTGCTGGTAAGACTGGCTTTAACTACCTGATTATAACAATAATCTCAAAGTAGGGGATAGGTTTAACAAGGGATATTCTTTTAAATTTTTTGGATAGGGTAGGGTTTTAACATTACTCAATGCCCAAGGGTAGGTTTATAAGAGTCATAAGGAATTGGGATTTCATTTTTGAGGGAGGAAGAGGTATTCTGGTCTTCCAAGATGGTGACCACATTAAATAATTTGATTCCAAGATGTATTAATCACTGTTGAAGGAAGCATGGGTGGTAAATAAACAAAGCCTTTTGCCCAGAATTGTCTTGCTCTCATGATAACCTACGATACTTTTGACAGCTGCTCACATTTTAGAAGCAATCTCTTCTCTAACCAAAGGGGTTGGTGGTAATATCAAAATCCAAAGTGCAAAGTGCACTATATAAATGATGAGAATGACATGGAGAGATAAAGTGGGTGTTAAATACATTACATAATGTGATTGACAGGTGGTAGTTATGACAAGGAGACACTCGATGGGTATGACGTCTGGGATTCTATTTCCCTCGGCAAGCCATCACCAAGAACAGAACTACTACACAACATCGACCCTCTGCAGGAGAGTGACAAAGATGATGTAGGGTTTGGTTATCAAGGCATTGGGTTACGGGTTGGTGATATGAAGCTGTTGATGGGCGTACCTAATATATCATACTTTATACCACCTGAAGATAGACCAATAGACTACATGGAGACTACACAAGAAAATAAGGTAACCTTAACCTATAATATACACACAAAGATGTGAAATCATTTTCCCGGGGGGGGGGGGGGGGCCCTCTTGAAAAGTGGGTAGGGAGCTCGAAGGACAGTTTTGAAAATGACCCTAAAAGGTACGCATAAATTAACTGAGATTCTGATTTCAGACCCTAAAAGGTACGACCACATTTAAAATGACAACGTTTCCAACCATTATATTCTTGTATGACGTTTGATATTTTTCAAAACGAACAAATCTGACCCTAAAAGGTACGGAGTCAGCCCGGAGTCAATCGGAGACCCTAAAAGGTATGCAAGGTCTCATTTTCAACCCTAAAAGGTCCGTCGAGCCCCCTACCCACTTTTCAAGAGAGTCCCCCCCGGATCATTTTACTGCTTCGATATTGAATATCTTGCATTTCAAAGCTGTGTCATGTAGTAGAAGGATTGCGCACGTACATCTCTAATGTGTCGTATGACTGAGTAACCCAATCGCCACACATTGAATACAGGTGCATCTCTGGTTGTGTACCACTATCGACCACAGAGTCCTGGCTGTCATTCTAACTATGCGATAATACTCTTGCTTATATTTCTCGAGGTCTCTATTGATTATGTGGCAGTGGCGCTCTACAACGTCACTGCAGACCCGTACGAGAAAAATGACTTGAAGGATAAATACCCAGACATCGTTAAACAACTACAGGACCGTGTGGAATTCTACAAGAAAACTGCTGTACCTCCGGCTAACAAACCAAACGATCCACAGGCCAAGGAAACTGCTAAAAAGAATGGTGCCTGGTCTCCTTGGTTGTAGTCAGCAGCCTGCGTGGCAGGCGTTCGTGGCTGGCACGCAGGCTATGGCTGTAGTGGTTGGTTATTTCATATATTTTTTGGTTATTTCATATATTTTTTGGTTTTTTCATATATTTTTTGGTTATTTCATATATTTTTTTTAGTTACTTCATATTTTTTTAAAAATAAATCAAATAATATTGTTTGAAAGTTGCAACCAGCTCGTAGTTTGTCTCGATATTCATCTGTACCAAAATAGACTGCAAGCAAACCACATTTACAACAAATAGTAAAAGGCATTTCAACATAAGTTGCATGGAGCATTGCAGTGTGTAACCTACAGCGCAATTCGAAAAAATATTGCGAGACAAGTTGCAGCAATTGTTTGCGTCTCCGTTGCAGCGTGTAAACACTCATGCAACTTGTGTCGCAACGCTATTGCAACGACAAGTTGCAAAGAAAATTGCTCCTTTAAACTTCCCTGTTATAGCTATTGCTCCTTCATCCTAAATAACCACCCCTCCCTCCCCCTCCCCCTC